AAATGAAGAACGGGCGGGGCTGGATCTCTATTTGGTCAAAAATTACGGGACCAGGACAGGTTTTCCTTAAATCAAACTACAAAACCTTCGGATTGGACTTTCCCACAAAATATTTTAACTGGGTTATGATGGACGAAAATATATGGGCTTAACCGTGTCGTGCTTAATCCATAAAATTTTAAGATGCACCAGACAATAAAAAAAATAAATAAATCTATTCAAGCAAGGCTTGTCCACAGGTCGGGCCAGACTTTTTTTTCTTATAGATAAATCTCTGGCCGGGCAATTAAAAAAAAATACCAATCAGCAGGGCTTGCTCACTAAATCTATTCCCGGGCCGGGCTTTCTAAAAATTTTACCAGATCGGATTGGCTGTAAATAATCAGCCCGTGCAGACCTCTAACAGCGCTATAGTATCKGATGTTATCATTTGGCCTAGACCAACGTGTCTAATACCCGACAAGCAGCCGCATGATTGTGGGATTGGTAGTTCTCRGCTTGGTTTTGCGGGTTTTGATGTCGGCTTTGCAGGTTTTCGATGGAACCCATCAGGTATTCGTTCTCGCTGTCCACAATGGCCGCCTCGTACTGCAACTGTTCAATGTAGCCCAACCTGGCGCGCAGTTCGGTGTCGGTGTCACGTATTAGCAGAGTGTTTTCACGGTACATCCGTTCCGTGTCGGCCATGTCGGCCTCAGCTCGTTTCAGCTCGTCCAGCAGTTGCTCTTGGTCACGACACCGTTCCACGTTCACGTACAACCGGATCAGACGTTCCTCGAATTCGTACAGCTTCTTGTTGATCTTGACGATCTTCTCCAGGTAAGCGATGGACTCTTGCGTCGACGACAACAGCGGAGTTCCAGAGTCTGCGATTTCGCTGACAACTCCTCCTCTCCCACCATCATCACAACCACCATTGTCATCGACGTCGTCTTCGTTCTCGTCGTCGTGGTCATCATTCTCCACACTGGCGCCCTCTGTGATTCCGCTGTCTTTTTCCTCCTTGTCGTCGCCGCATCCACCGCCGCCCCCTAGGTAGGCGTCCAACAGGTAATTCGATCCCAACGCGTCTGATCGAGTCCTGTGCGTTTCCGTTTCGATCTTCTCGATCTTCTTATCACGGTCCTGCAACTTTTTCAGCTGCGCTCGGATTGTGTCGCTCTGTTCAAGTATAAGTTTCAGTAGCTCCTCGGCCGCTTGCGTGTTGCTCAGCCTCTTCGGGTGCACCGTTCGTGAGGCGTACTTTACCACCACCTCCCGGCGGCGCTTCTTGTGAGCACCACGGTAACCGCTAATCTCRGACGCTGCGTCGTCGTCGCAACCACCGGCACCGCTATCAATGTTGTTTTCACCACGGTAGTGGAAGCCATTGCCTCTCACATTTCGCAAGCATAACTGTTGATCCGGCCGCAGGCTCTGCCAGATCTTCAGCACCCTGATGTTGGGATTCGGCACTATGGTGCCAGTGTGCGCGCTATCAACGGCCACCGCATAGTCACTGCCGCGGCCGGTCAACGTAGTCACCACGTCGGCGCACGTAGTACGCTTGTCCGCGTCGTTGATCCACAGTTTCTTGTCGTAAAACCATATGGGAATTCTCTCGGTCGTCATCTCCTACGACAAAAAATTATTACGAATTAAGATAAAAACGTTTGTATAATTGCATATTACCAATATAATACTATGTATATGAACACAATAAAAAGCACCATACACACAACATCAAAACAGCTTAACTCACKKACTAAGTTACAGGTATTTTTTCGAAACGAATTATTTGGCTACTTATTGGTACTTAAATTAAGTATACAAGTTTTTAAATACAAGTACAAAAATAAATTATAAGGTATTCCATTATCCCATGTTACAAACGATTTTTTTTTTATGATGAAGGACATGTTGGTTTGTTTTTTAATAATACATATATTATTTCAAACAGACATAATTGTAGTATGTGGTTATAAGCTGTYATGACACTATGCATATGATTATTATTTTTGGTACTATTAAACAAAAATGCGAGTAAGCCTATGTACAGAGCATATTATATAATATGTATATTTAATTCACTAAAGTAACAGTTGTTACAAATCTACAATACACGTTAAACTACAACTAGTAAGTTAGTAAGTTTCCAAAAGATATGAAATACATTCAAATGCAATTTCAGTTTCAATTTATTCTTCTACGTATACGCCTTACGTATAATAAATATAATAAGTTATATTTTAATGTGATTAGGCCTGAAATTCGACCGATACAATAAATTCCACGAGATCGTAACAAAAACATTAATTCACAGTATAGTATACTTAAATATTGTAATATAACTCTATCTGTTTTATAATTTTCGTAGATAAATTMAAATTATATATACTATATTGTATGTGTATAAGTACATTATATTGTATATTATATTATACATTATATAGGTATGAATGTAAGATATTCATCAACAAGTGTTTTTTGCTGGCTGTATAATAATAATAAGCCATGTTTATTTAAATTGTTTTTTTTTTTTAGAAATCAGATTTTTAGCTTGTTAAAAGTTTGAAATAWGATGAAAATATGCGTCTGCGTTTCCTGATTTCTCACGTCAGGTTATCATATATTCATATTATATTAAAATTATTTAAGTCTCTGCGCGTCGTTAGAATCGAAAATACATATCAACACATTTTATCAAATTTGACTTGAGCCCCCGCATCGTAAACAGTTATCGATAGACACTGTGCCACAACAAGTCACAATCGGATTCCAGMCATTTTATCATATAATGCATAGGTATCGCAGTAGTGTCAAGAGTTACATCTCAYCTACATTCGCATTGCCTCTGTCTTAAACGGGTGCGGAACATATTATATTAAATATGTAATAATTATCGATATAACTTAGCGTGGAATCGAAATCGCAGTAATTTTTAAACGGTATTTTTGCGCGTATTCAACCGGGTGACGTTTTTTTAGTTTAAAACTATTTTAGTGCAAATTGATTTTTTTTTTATTATTCATCTTTTGTGGTTCGTTGGAAGTTTTTTTTGCGATATCTTAAATTTTGAAATCAGTTTAAAATGTAAAATGTATGTATTATGTATGATGGAGATTATTATAATATTTATAAGTTAAGGTGACAAAAAATACAAGAGTCGACTGTTTAAGTCTTGATTTTAATTTGACGGTGAAGTGGAAGTGTTGTTACTGTGTGTCTGTACCCCAGATTATAGTGGTATCGAACAAGGTAAGGCAAACCTTGAAAATCTATAGATTGCCTACCCTTTTTTTATTTCTGGTTATAAGGTTTACTCAGGGAACGGTGAGAACAAAGTTCATACACCTAGTAAAATACATAAACTCGTATCAAGGGATTTTCACCAAATGCAGGCAATGCCAGTGGTCAGGCTGCAGGTTTCTTTTGTATACGAGGTGTAGATTCGGAAYTGTGATTCGTTATTAATAACATAACAGAATATTGAAAATTTAAGTTAATCGTAGGTATACATAAAAATATAGGTTTTTATACGAATTATATCTTATATTATAAGACTAGTAATAACAATTGTAGAGTTTCTTTCATGGTTTTTTATTCTCAAAAAATATGTCTTTTCTTTGTATTAAATATATATACCTACCTATAAAGAGAGAGATATAGAATACCTAGTATACCTATATTGTGTTGTGGAAACTCAAAAACATTTTTTAACACCAATGTTTGTGTTGTAGAAATAATAATATATATATAGTGCATTACACTGAAAACGTGAAATACGTATATTTTGAAACGTGACTTAATTCCTATCTACTGCAGTAGCGAGACCCTTCAATTTCATATAATGTATACATTGGTAATCATTTTTATTATTTCAAAGATATTTTGATTGCATGGTTGAAAATCTGATCGATTTCACGATTTTGAATTATGGCGATTCTTTAAGGCTTTAATTTTGATATTTCTATCAAAAAATATATTAATGTTTTTTTCTTTTGTCGTCGTCGTCATCATCATTTAGGTAAGTACTGTCGGCACAACAGAGCTGCATTAGCCGCAGCAGTGAAAGYCAAACGTTTTTGTACTGGCCGACGCGGCTTGGACAATAATAATAACAATTATTATTGTATATTATTATAGTTGGACGACCACGGACCACTGCGGGGTAAAAACGTGTCGGGATGTGAACACCTTCCATAATATACTATCTATATAATACCAATATAATATACCTATCTAAGGTTTTTTTTTAAGATTTAAAAGATAATTTTTGGTTTCAAATAAGATTCATCTGTACGCTTACCTACATAGATTGTTTTTAATAATCCAAACATTGTACACAAAAAGGAGCGTCATGTAATATTTACAAAATATTTCGTTAAAAAGTTTTTTTTGTTTTTTAACAGGAAACCTCTCTATTCATATGTGTTATTACTTCTAAATGATTTACTCGAACTGCCTATATGTGTGAGTGTATAATTTTCCAGCGGATTTAGTGTGAACAAAACACTTTTGTTATAATATAGATTTCTCCTGCATTATTACAGCCGGTTAAAAGTTATATATATATTATACTTTTTTATTTTTTCGATTTGTATTCGCACAAAATATATATAGTTAGATACTATGTTTATAATTTATAAATTACATAAAGGTGTACTATACACGCGTACTAATGGACTTTCTACGAATAATAATAATAATAATAAAAATTGAATTGGACAATTGTACCGGACGACTTCGTATTAGTAATAATTAGCAATGTGATATTGTGTTGAGAAGTAATTTATTTTGATTTTTCTTTTCTATTATTTGCTCCCGAAAGATGTTTTCTCTTGGACGTAAAACAATTGTTTCCGAAACTATAAACAGGATATAATCACATCACCATTATATCATTGTGTAAATACTATAAAGTATGTAAATAGTAAACAAACTACTACCAGCATTATATGTATACATATCAATATATAATAGAAGATACAACTGATACAAGGTACAAAGTACAAAGTGTACGTGTTGATTTTTATAAAACGTTATGCAATTTTRGTATTTTGAAAAAAAAACTGCAGTCGTTTACGATAGTATGTTATAGATACGACGGCGAAGGTCAATGTATTTGTGCGGTAGCATTATATTATGAAATTATTCGCTGTAACTTCGAAATAGTCTCAAATGGCAAAAAATGAAATACATATTTTATAATATATTATACGCAGCTATATACTAGCCATCGACTTCCGGTTAGGTTAGAATCTATAAAAGATTTTAAATTGTACATATTATAAATATATATTATTATATTTAGGGTACGATACAGAGCGAGACGAATATTATTAAATTAATGAATAATTATTATTTTATCGTTGCGCTCAATATTATCTATGGATAATAATATTGTACATGTACCTACCTATTATTGTGTCGTAAAATTATGATAAACATGCGATTGTGCATGGATTGTGCACCCGAATGCAGTTATTGTTTTCCGCGGCATTTCGAATTCTATATTATATTCTCATACAATTAATGTGTGATGCGTACAACGTATATACCACCCATATAATATTACGATATTTTAATAATACCACATTGTATTGTGTGGACCATGGTGTCTACACGTCTATGTTATACCTATATCGTGTTTTATATGCGCCACGATTTATAGAAGTCATAATAATAATATAATAGAACGAAACGTCGTGCGTATTTCTCATAGTGCAGTGTAGGTAGGTACTAGGTAGGTACGTGTTATTATTATTATATTGGTCCATTTTAATATAAATGTATGTATATAATAATCTATCCCTGGCTGTCTATTGTTGTTTTCGTGGGTACGATAATTATAATATGTGTGTTAGTGTGTGTGTGTGTGTGTGTTATTCGTATTATTATAGTGTAATAATACATATTATATTATTTATGATTATATTCACGAACACGTGAAACACTGAGCAATGCTTGTATACTCCGTCAATTACTTTTTTCTATTTAATAAATATTTAAAATTTATCATTTTARAAAATAACTATTTTCAATACTTATTTAACACTACTGTGAAATTTTTTTATTACATTTATAATATTTTGTTGGTTAGCCCGAAGTCGGGATAAAAAAAATGTAAAATGTTTACAAGGAATGATTAGCTCATTATTTGTTCAATAAATGTTWAGTATTTTTTTCATGTGGCATATAGAGAGATGATATATTATATAATATAATATAAATAAGAATTTATAAATACACACTTTTTCTATGAGTCAAACAATTAATTCACATCAAGTGATCAAGTATAATATTGTTTATCATATTATATTAAATATTAATAGTTTTTTGAGTTTAGATAGAAATAATGTACAATAAAACCTCCCCTAACTGACACTTCCGAATAACGGACATTTTTTTTKGGAAAAAAACTATATTTACAAGCTTTCTATAAACCAAGCACCTCCACAAATATAGCGGGCGAATAATTTCAGTGACCAAGAGTGTCCGGTATTTAGAGGTTTA